CAGGGGCAAGCAAGAGAGCTCTTTTTCTTGCTTCATATCAGGGGCGCCTTCACGATACCAACAACATGTAGTGTATATGCAGAAATCCGCGGGGTGCTTGTGCAGATGCACGTCTAGAAAGGATAGAGACACCGAGACAGCTGTGACATGCTGTTGAAGGAAGATATTGATTTGCTATGCAAAAGCTTAGTTGGGGAATGTCATCTTGAAGAACAGATTATGAGCACGTATGCTCCATTTCGCTGGTGCTTGCTGTTCTTGCATCCATGGTTCCGACTAGGAACACAAAAAATGAGAATCTCGTGGTTCAACGTTTGAGGCACTAGACACGGATCTGACTAGCTGGTGCCACCAAAAAAATGAACGCTTTTCGGGTTCGTTTTTGAAGAACCTTCCATCATGTCAGGAATCTGTCAGGAATCCTTCATTCAATCCTCACGTGTCCGGAACCTTTCCCCATTGCCAGGGCTCCAAATGAGCAAAGTCGGTTTAGGGTTGAGGGCCGAGGTCATTGATCGGTTGAGGGCTGAAGTCATTGATCATTGAGGATGACCGCATGATGGAAATGATTCCTGAGCCCAGAGATCTCCCTGCTGGTTACCTATTGGACGTCAGGTGCGTCTTGCTGCAGATCAATGCCAAGAGGCCGCCGGTAGATCGCTGCTGGTGTTGCCCAGCCTTGCTTTACAGCTGATCAGCGACGTGTTCCCCAAATGGCAACTTTGGAACACAGCTTCCATCCCTCCATCCAACTCATCCTACACAACCTGATGCAAAGCTCTTCTACCCAACACTGAAATCTGTCTTCTAACTTTTGATAATATTGCATGAACACACGGCAGGCCCCACTCAGAGGAAAAGTCTCATCTGGAACCGGTTTTGCAAGCTGGACAAGGTCTACTAGGATACAGAGGTTGGGATTTATTCCTGGAGCCTGACTAGAGGTTGAGGTTCAACTCTTATCAAGACTACATTAGCAAGGCTACATGGCTGTCATCTGGTAGTTTCAAATACTATAATCCCGCGTAATTATCGGGGCCCGCAAGAAGGTTTCGCTCATCTGGAAGGACCTGCTGTCCGGAAGTCACTCCAAGAATATTCCTGAGCACATGGCAATTTCATCCAGGACTGTTGAGATTGTAGTTGAAAGGCTCCAATCCCTGGTGCCTACCCCAAGTCCCTATCCTATCACATCCAGCGGACATTCTGTATCCTTATAGGGTATTATGAAAGGGACTGAGGCCCAAACCATGAGGGCAGTTCCGGAAAGATGTCAGCGCAATATAGACGTCAAGATTAGAATCATGGTTAAAGGAACCCCACAAGGGGATCCTTGATGCCTGCTATACTTACACATCCCTATGTACCCACGTACTTACCTTTATAACCTCCAAATAGGGGGTCCCAAATTTTTGGAAACCTCCTGCAATCACAAGCCTAATTTCGGGCGCGGCACGGCGCGATTTCGTGGAGCCAGCGGCACCAAGGACCCTCTGACGCCATGTCCCTGTTTCCTCGCGCGCAAGGTAGACTATTTCAGGGATAAAGGGGTCTGGGGCGTATAGATCAATGTTTGGTTGGATCGCGGAGTTTGAGAGTAATGTTTCCAGGTGTAGCGATTTATGCAGCTAAGAAAAAACATGTTATGTACTCTTAGTTGGACAGCCTAAAGTCTTGCACAAGCATCCCTCAGCTGCAATGGGGTTAAAGACCGCAAGCGGTTCCTGGACTTCATGGCAGTAAACTAGAAAACCACATTCAACAAAGCAATGAATCAACAGACATGGGGCTTCATTGGGGAAGCGAAGCCCGCGGTTTCGTTTGCGACAATGCACTGATAGATATTTGCAGCAGTGGTAGGATAGTTACATCGAGAAAATGCGCCCCCACAGCACTGACTTTGCAAATGTGCCGGTGACAGCAGACCGCAGACAAATCTAGGGGTAGCCCATCCCAGTGTTATCCCAAGGAATTCCGAACAGAAACCTTGCAGGTTTTCTCAGTCTAAAACTGAGATTCAAGATCGCGTCCACCTACTCCATGCGGTGGTATTGGATCATCGCTCTCGCTGCGCAGATAACAAAAAACAAAAAAAATACGCCTCAAATCCCCAAATCCCCAACTCCTAAATCCTAAGTCTCGGGCCCCCTAGGCCCCTAAGCCTGAACCCCGAGCAGAGACCGCCTCTCAAAGAGGCAAGGCCGGCTGTGCGGGCGCTGGCGTAGTAGGGGCAGCCTCCAGCCTCAGCAACCGATGCCTAAGGGCTAGTAAGGCAGCACATATGCCTACTACTACTCTGAAGAAAATGTACAGAATAGAATATACTTTATTAAAAAGTATAAGTATATGCAAACATAACGCAACTCTCTTCGTACATATATACATATATACATATCTGCTCTATATACATACATATATATATGTATATATGTAAGAAGGCTTCTGGCATCTACTCCTATCTATGTAGCGCTGGTTCAGTCGGCCACGCATGCATTGCAGCTTGAGCTGTAAAAACTTACTGGCATCATATTCAATAAACGTCGGGAATATAACCAGAACATGATACAGTGATGTGTTATATACTATATTGTAGATAATGTGACGTTATATTTTGTGATAGTACCATATAGTGTACTACTTAAAAATTCTCTGCGCTTTTCTCTCGGTGCACCTGGTCTGAGACTGCGGCGCTGATCTGTCAAGACTCCTACGTCTTCTGTTTCCAACAGCAGAAGCACTAGCTGCAAGAAAAGGCCCACATGTCGGGCAAAACATTCTGTCTCAACCGGATTGCCTCCTCACCAAGCCCGAGGTGTCATCCCAAAGCCCTGAAACCGGGTCCCCTGATGCATAAGTTTGGTGTAGAACTTCTTGGGTATATTAAAACCTGAAGTCTAGACCCTGCACAAGAATTCGCTCTGCCCAGTAAACACTATCCGACTCATTTGGGTCTCAGGCTTTTTCACAACACAGCACCAAGCACCACCAAGGGATTGCAAAATCCGAACTCTGAAGTCTTTGGAAGGATGGATCTGTACCCACTGGGGCTCCCAAGAAAAGGATATATGACAAAAAACCGAGTAAGAAGAAGGGACAAGCCTTGCTTAAGCGTTGTCCGTGTGCCGTGGCTCGTGGTAAGAGAGGGCTTTCATAGGTTTATGGGTTTGGGAGTTTATGGTTGCGCGTCCACACTCTGCAAGCAGGGGACTCCATCCATGCCAAGGTAGATGAAGTAATGTTGAACCTGCCAAAAACACGAGTGTTAAGGGTGTAGGGTTAGGGTTTACGGAACCAAGGAGTCTGTCTGACATAGATAGAATTCCAATATGCCACCATAGGTCACCCCAATTCAGTCTACCAAAGAAGGACCATATACCTGGACATCAGTCGTCTTCCTACAGCTTAAGCTCCCAGGTTTTCGGACTACTGGCTTTCCTTGCTACAACTTAAACAGCCAGGCCAGGGCTCAGGGACCCCAGATGTAGATCCTCATTGTAGGCCACTGATTCATACCCCCCTCTCTCTGATGATAGAGATGACTAGACACCTTCACTGGTCTAGAGAAGTCAGGGATGAAGGCGGCGAGGCGCCCTAGCGGAGGCTTGCTTTAGATAGACAATCACTAATTTGGAATTCTCCCTTCTCCCAGGACACGTAGGTCTTATCTACGAAGGCATGACCGTTCAGCACGCCTACCTACTAAGCTTGAAACCTGAACTGCGTTGGATGACAACAAAGCTGTTTACATTGTTGTGGCTAACAGCTTACCACGGACACAGATTTCCATGCCAATTTGCATGCACAACGCAATTCAAAGCTGTATCAAAACTTCTCTGAAAAGTACCCCACCCTCAACTTGAAACTCGGGCCCTTGCGGCAATGCGCTTTTGGTAGTCCCTCCTCAGCCAGAAGGTCTTTCCTCAACAATCTACTAAGCTAAGCCCTGACGCATCCCTAAACCCTAAACCCGGAAACTGGCTGTAGATACCAAACCTGACCCAAGGAATTCGAGTCTTTCTGTCCAACCTCGGTCGTGTTGGCCGGTGGCGCCCATGTTAGGTAGCCTGTCAGACAAGTACAAGTACATAGGGGGTTTCCCAAAATTTGGGGTGAACTTTTTTGGTGGGTCCCTATAGCAAGGCTTGTGCTGTTTTAACAGATGGTTTCCAATCACAGGGATCCCTTAAAAATAATCCAGAGATATGCGGGGATTACAAGGGGATTGCGAGGGTCCCTGCCAAAGGGTTCTAGAGCAGCAATTAGGTCGGGGTGTGTAGCTTGAAGGTTCATCTGCGGTTTTGGGCCCGGGGCCTGAGCCGAATGGCAACATAGTGCGTTTCGGGTTTGAGGCTTAGTGGCCCGAATAGGTACCTATATTCTGGTTCCATTTAGCTTGTATATCTCATTGCTAAAGGCGCCTCAACATTTCTCTCAAAATCACATTTGTATAAGCCTGTTAAAATCTAAATTTGGGAGAAGTGCTTCAGTCTCAAGCCGGGATGTAAAAGCAAAATGTGTAGGATTTAGGGTTGGGGTTCGACCTATAATCAAGATAATCTTCTGAATAATTGCTTTGGGTTACTCTAGAAGAACTGAACGATAACAGCTAAGGACTCTGGGGAGGTCCAGGTATCACCCAAGACTCAAACCCTAAACCCTAAATCCTGAACCGGGCAAAACTGCTTTGGATGCCGGCCTCCAAGCTCGAGAGCATCGAGGTCACAGTCTGGGAAGGTGAGATTCTGCACCTCGTGGCTTGAAGCTTGGCGCCTACTATAATTAGCGGGGCGGTTCAGAGGCATAGGGGGGTTAGGGTTTAGGAGGTTTCAAGGTGGGGCTAGCTTAGAAAGGCCAGGGCTACTAAAGGTTGATTCTTCTGCTTCTTCCATACGGGTAGGGCAGAGGTTTTTCTAGGGGAAGCTGTTCTGCTGTCAGGGTCTGTAGTGGAAGCCAGCAAGCTGAGTCAACTTTTTCTGTGTTCAGGCGCGAAAACTATTGTGTCAGTACGCGAGGTGCCCCAAAGCTGAAAGCTCGAAGTCTACACGCTGCACTAGAAGCTCATCCACAGCTGTTCGAACAGAGTCCGTGTGTAGCAGGTCATCAGACCCTCCTCGCACCACCGCATCCAGCAGAGCCAGTGCCAGCGGTGCCGGTGCAGCCCTGAGCCGAGGTAGCGCAGCCGCCCACATGATGTCCAGCACGGCCGTGCTATCTTCGCAGAGCAATGAGACTGCAGAGGCAATGGTGCAAACATCTGCTACGTGGCATCGCTCCCAGGTTGAGACATCCGCTCGCAGTAGGCAATCAGCCAGCATTTGGTGAAGCCGAAGAGGTTGTATGCCACAGGACACAAGGGCACTGAGAACATCTGCTATGGTTGCCGGCGCCAGCGGCAGCCCCCCCTCCTCCTCGCCATTCTCCAGCCAAGAGTCCAAGGCATCCTGAAGAGGTGCGGACAAGGCATCCAGAAGCTCCACGTCCATGGTGACCTGGCGGTTTCCAACAATTAGGGATATTATGATTATGTTAGGGGTCCCAATGATCAGGATATACATATACATAATATATATATATATTGGGGTCTATATTCGGTCCCCCCCGTTTCTGCAAACTACCACCTGGCGCGCGCCGGCAAAGGCGATCAGCAAACGTGCTGATGTCTCTGCCTGTTGATGGTTAGGGTCTGTTGCCACGCCACCGAGCCGAGAGTGAATGAACCTCTGGCCCTTCAGGATTGCATCTCGCTTCTGCAGTCGCATCAGGGCTAAGGCATCAGGAATCAGCCTCCGACGCCAGGCTCGGTAGGCTTCTGGGCCGTCACCTCCGTTCAGTGCAGAGGCAAAGGCAACAAGGCGTGGCCAAATGTCATGGCTTTGGAGCGCTCCAATGCGCTTCGCAAGTGCCTCTCGGAAATCCAGATCCAAGTCGCCAGTCAGCAGCCGCGCGTTGGGGAAGGCAGCAATCTGGGAGATCTCCGCCAATGATTCAGCATCTGCTGTCGGAAGAACTTGGAGGAGCTGGCTGGCTAAGGTGGCTCTGAGCCGTTTCCCAGGTGGCATCCGGGTCACTTTCGCCCTCACGTCACGCATCCGCAAGACTTTCCAGCGACCCGACAGGAAGCGCTCCTTCTCGAACTCCTCCATGTCCACAGGATCCGTTGTCTTCCAAGCCTTCTTTGCATCGGTTTCTGGCTCAACTTGAATCCGAGGTGGGACGGCGCCTCCTCGCCGGGGACGTGAAGTGCATCGAATGAGGATCAACGCCACTTTGTGGCTGAGAGGGAGGTTCTCAATCAAGGACTGGAAGGAGCCCTCCTGGGGGAACAACGAGAGGAGTTCTGCTGCATGCCCCTTCACCTTTTTACCATGATGATGCCGGAGAGCCTCCACATCATCTTCAACATCCTCAATTTCATGTGACGCGCTGAAATACCGGCTCTCCAGACGATCGGCCAGCCTCTCGAGCAATGCTGAATGGTGGTAATCTAGGCGAACCAGGCTGTGAAGGACCAGCAGAGCCTGAGAGCTGTTCAGCTCCCTGCGCATTAGCTGCCGAAGCACCTCGTCCCAGCGCTCCGACAGCTTAGAAGACCAGGCGGAGGCAGATGCAAGACTCAAAGCTTCTTCTACTACCACAGATGCTGGCGCAGTGTCTAAGAGGCGAAACTCCCCGAGGTCATCGTCGCTCTGCGCCGAGATCTCCGGCGCAGCCTTGACGACCTCGCGTGGCCGCAGAAGCAGCCAGCTGGGAGCTACCTCCTCCGGGGGAACCAGCGCTCCGTCATCAGCCTCTGCCACAGGAGCAACCTCAGAGAACCGACGTATTTGGAAGCTCCGAAAGGTGAGACTCCGTTTAGCGCAAGGCCGCAAAGGCCGCACTGCCTGCCAGGCAGGTAGGGCCAACCTTCGAAGCGACATGGCGCACGATGCCTAGCTAGGCATGTGATTGGGGAACACCTAGATCTGGCTGCATCCTTCTAGATCCACTCATCAATCATTCAGGTGGGCCAATCCCTTCTAGGGCAAATAGTGGGAGCTCTTACCTAACACATGTGCCAAGAGTCCCATTGTTGGGGCGCATCAGTCTGAAGATCCAGCCACAGCGCGAACACAAGATTCTGATTCAAGCAGCACAACAAGCTCCTCATTGTAGGATGCGCAAAGTTTCAGGCATGAGGTCGAGCAGTGACAGAAGCTCTTGTGGCGTCGAGCAAGCGTAGATTACCGTCCTGCCTGCATGCATTGATCAAACGTCCAAGCTTGCTGTTGATCATAGAGACAACCTTTACATTCTGCACCACCTGCCCAATCTGTGCAGTCAAGCGGCTGTTCCATCTGCATCGTAGAGCAGGGTAGACACTGGCGTCGTCTGCTCCTGTTTCATCTGCCAGACAATATATTAAGGCAGGGTCCTATTTGGAATGGTGTCTATGGGTACTTCATAATGACTGTACTTCTACAAGGGTTGTAGGGGGGGGGCATCTTGTTATGCCGCCCCATGAGGAATTCAAGCGGGCAATACTGCTTGCTGCCCATTCAAGATTCTAGGTTACGCCATCAAGTCTCGCTCCGGCTTTTGGCGACAATCCCAGACCAAAATTACATGCTCGCTTCGCAGGGTCCATATGACACGGACGAGGTTACTTTCTTGGACCTACCCAAACCCACACACTAAACCCCAAACCCTGACGTAAATGCAGGGCATACTCTCACAGGGTTGATGCTTCAAGTGTGGACTGGGATGAGAAGAGCTTCAAGATGCTTAAGCAGCGGAGGACGGGGGCTTCTCTAAGAAGCGAAGATCTTCTGAATGGCGTATTCATTTACATCTATCTTGGTCAGGCCCTGTGGCGCCTGCAGGGTCGATGCGGCATAAACCAGCACGTGCTCAAAGTTTCCCCGGGCCGTTTCCGCAGGCATGGCAACCTGGGCCACAACATGGATTTTGTTGCAAAAAGCAGGGGGGTTAGGTTTTTGGGTCTGTGGTTTAAGCTTTCCAGTTTGTGGATTGGGATTTGGAGTGTGGGGTTTAAGGTTTGGGGGCCACGGACGTGTAACATGTGACTCGGAGTAAACTCAAAATCTTGCATGGCCTGAATGTACTATGATACAGTAATTCCCACCAAGTTGCAGTGTTGGTGCCCGCTGGCTGCGTACCGACCAGAGACTTCGTGGTGCCGAATGCCGAGGGCGACAAGTACACATCTGCCAGGGCAGCTTGGGCTTGGGTTTCTGCTCTTTCCGGAGCCCCAGAAGTACGTAGAATAATGGCCTTTATCTGTCTCGATGGGTGTTGGGCCATTATTTTGCTTAGTTTTAACCAGCTTGAGGGTCCCGAGACTCAATTGCTCGTGGTTCGTAGGGAATTGGCGAATGGATTCCTCTAACAGTCCCGGCGTCATCCATCAAGGTAGTCCCTGTGACCCATATTCCTGAATTCCTTCTAACCACCAAAGAATCACCAATCAATCTCAAAAAGCAAGTAGGACTCCCTGTTTGGGAGGTCCCCATGATCAGGATGATCGGGATGCAAGACCACTACTTCCGGAAATGCCCTTATCATCATACAGAATAGAAGGCCCAACATCTAGACCACAAGCCCTTTCGTGACAGGCAATAAACGCTAACTACTTGTACCTCTCGAGACTGGCAGAAACTGAGGCCCCAAATGACAGCAAGCAAAAACAATCTAGACCCAGAATTTTGAAGTCCACCTGATGCAAACCGCTTCACAGCTGAGGCATGAGCTGTAGGCAGTTAGTCGGCCATCCAGCAAGGTGGGAGGCTGCCAATACCTGGGAAAATAAAGTTCCATGTTGGGAAGATCGGGCCTGTCTGGGTTTGAGGACTACCGGCGGTTGTGAGCAGCACGTCATAGCTTTGTGTGCAGTCTGGACCATGCTAGCGGGCCATGGTTCTTAGCTTGGCAGGCGGTGTGGTACTTGGGCATTCTGGGATTTGATGAAATCTAAGATTTAGGATTTTGGGATTTTGGCATCGTATTCGCGCTCAGATGTTGAAGCGAGGTGCCTAAAGTTCCATAGTGTCGAGGCCTCAGCATACACTTCCACAACTGCTGGCCAGTCTAATAACTAATTTGCCAAGTTTGGCAATTCGTTTTGTGTTGTAAGCGTTGCCGCTTGCTTCGCGCGCTTCCGGCAAAGACCAAGTTTCCAGCAGCAACAAAGAAGGGAACCATCTTTCAGCGTCTGGGACATTGAATCATGTTCCGTTTGCACAACATTAGATTCAGCTACTTACGTCAGACTATTGCTGCAAAGCTCTGAGCCTTGATCTATTGGATACCTCTTGGTTATTCAACACAGTACCTGGATCCTAAAGCAGGCAAATACAGGCCCAAAACCCGTTGAAAAAAATGGCCATTCTCTAGATACTTTTGCGGTTCAATCATTGGTACTTGGGCTAGTAGACACTGTTGGACCCGAACAGGGCTTGCCAGCAAAGGGACACGTCGCCGCCAACCTCCCGTGGATCCAAGTCCTCAGCCGCATTAAGCTCAAATGTGGGGGTGTTTCGGGCTTGCGGGGGGGAGGTAAGGATTTTGTTCAACATTCTTCGGCTTGGGGGGGTTGCAGTTTTAGTGCTTTCGAGTTGTGCAGGTTCGAGTCCTTTTTTTGAGATCGAGTCGGTGGTGCGCTGGTCGTTGAATTCCTTTACAGACGAAAGCTGCATGCTGTGATAGCTGTGCTTTGAGGCACATGGTTTCTGGTCGATTGGAGGCAGCTTTCTTCGGACTACTGGGGCAGGCTTTCCCTCCACTTGTGGAGCTATTCCTGCAGGGCGCAACTCGTTTCTGAACCCTGTACAGAATATCCACATGAAAGTTCGCATCAGTGTTCAAGTCAGCTAAGCGGGCAAAAGCAGAAAATACTTAAACCCTAAAGCCTCAACCGTAACCCCCTAACGTTAAAGTCTAAACTCTTTTGACAAATCCACTCGCCTCTAGGCCTAACTCCTGAATCCAGACCTCACATCCCAGAGCTGCCAGATCCCTTTGCTGCGAAGTCTAGACACACGGGATGCCTGGAACCCCAGACCCTCGAATCCTAATCCTACGCAACCCTCTAACCACATGGGTCTTCAACAATACCCCGTAGGTCCCCACTTAATTAAACGGGAACCTTGGGGAGTAGTATAGGGGGTGTAGTAGGGCCATCCCTGATTTAAAGGCTAGATTCAAGGCGCAAGCCTATAGTGCAAGACTAAAACCTTCAACTCCCTACACCCAAGCCTGAAGCCCAACGTCTTGAGCTTTGAGCCCAAACCTGAAGCCTAAACTCAAGATTTGCCCCTAAACCTTGTAAGCCCAGACCTGAAGCCTAGGTCCGGAACCCAAACCTAAACCTCTCACATTTTCTAACAGCGAAGCCTGAAGCCTACATCCCCAGCACTAACAAACCTGAAGCCCAAACCCGCCCTGAATCCGTGAGGCCAGACCTTGTCACTGAACTGGATGTTGCTCACGGAGCCATCGTAATCCTTCGCGGGAGCACTTGGTGTTTGGATGTTGGATATCGTTGGATAACTTAGGGGGTGTGAAGATATGTACGGGGCGTACATGGGGACATATCCAAATCATCTGGGCTTCCCACACCACAAATCTTTCTGCTGGAAAGAAAATGCCACGTCATAGCAATATCGAGGTTCCTATGACCACTTTAAGAAGAAGAATGCAACTTATGCTGCCCTAAACCCTACGCCCTAAGCCCAAAAAACCTTCAAACCCAAAGCCTAAATCCTAAATAGTAGTTTCCATTTTCTTTTCCAGTACCCCTATATAACCCTACATAACCCTGTATTATTTCCAATATTTACTACCCTACCCTCCGCTCCTGCACCACCAGCGAAGCCGGCGTGGTTTGCTCTACCAAGGTGGAGCTGGTGTACACGACACCTGCCATAAGAAACGCAAAGTGAGGGGCCTTGAAAGGGGTTAGAGGGGGAATATCTAACGGTTATAAGGCTTAGGGTTTAGGGTTTTGGGTTACATAGGGACATATACGGCTTATAGGGGATATATTGGGATGGCGGATAAGAAAATGAAAGCTATTATCCAGGGCTTAGGGTTGACAGTTTCGGCTGTAGACCCAGTAATATTATGTAGAGTTAAATGGAACAGGACATGCAAAATTAGATAAAAACTGGATTTATACTGGTTTTTGAGGATTAGTCTCTGACACATCTATGTGAAGCATGCTTGAAATCTATATTGGGCTTGAGTAACACATCGCTTCATGGCTTGGGACGATTGGGCCAAATCCTGCATGACCTTAGTACCAGCTTCCGAATTTCAGACTCCTGCTCGCATCAACAACGTCTGGATATCTGATCTTCACTCCTCAGGGGGGCTGCGTCTACATTCTGAGTGCAGCACAATGCCAGAATCCCGTGAAGTCGCTGTTGGCAGCTACCTCATACCTGGGAGCTGCTCAAAAAAAATCAGGAACGGCTTTGGGTTGTAGGGGGGCTCTTGGTACAGATGGGACACCCTCTGAGAAAGCTCTCACCTGATCCAGAGAAGTGCGTCTACGTTTTGTCCGAAAGCTCGGGAGTGCCCAGCTCCCAGATAGGGCAACGTTTCAGCAGTTCTGGTTCCTGCAACAACCTAGACCTTCCACCTACTGTATGCTCAATCAGGGCCTAAGTTCTCAGTAATTAGCAGGGTCCATATATCCCCAATAAAAGAACTAGGAAGGTCTTGGAAAACATTGTCCGTGCTCGCCGTGCCTCAGCTGACTCTTTGAAGAACAACATGACTGCTGTTCTGAGGAAATGTTACGACCGTC